CTATTTATCTCTCCCTGTGCTCTCTGTCTCTCCCCAATTCCCACCATGTAGGATGACCTAAATTAATCTACACAGCTCAACACAGGCTCACAGCTAGGACACACAGAAATATTTTCTATGTGTGCCATTCACATCACAATACTGTCTTAAGATGGGTAGTAATGCTTTGTGTAAAAATGAGGACATGCTGCATTTTTCTGCACCGGACCCATTATTAGTCACCACGCCAGTTATGCTGAGGTGCATAGGAATGTACTGCATAATTTGTGACATTTCAATATATTTAAAAAAAGTAAAAAGTGCCTTGCATTGTAACAATGCAAGACACCACCCCTTACTGAACATACACTTTGGACACCAGCCTGCACAATTAAACAGCTCGATTTAGCACGCAGCTGGTGTAAATGAGCCTCAAATACAGTTGATGTACCAGTATTAGCCATACCCCTACGCCACCACATTCCTAAGACCCATTCTCTACCCTTGTCCCTAATCTTGCCAGAACAATGATGGCAACATGACATTCAACTTTGTGGACAACCAATGGAGACTACTGCCTTGGTGGACAAAAAAAGACACCTCTGTGCAGTTTTACTTAAACATTTATGTAAACCCTAACAATAAACAGTTTATTTTGCTCTCTTAAATATATAATTGAAAGCATTTTGTTATATCAGTTCAATATCCGTTTGATACATGCAAAAAATACATGTTGATCTTGTCTGAAATTCAGTGTGCTGAGTCTTGTGCACACTTCCTGTGTTTTCTCAAGCAAGTAATTATACCCCCAGTTCTTATCTTGTAACTATAGGATGATTAGACTCTTCATCTGGAGATGGATGAATGGGATGGTCTGAGTAGTTTTGCAAAAGTAAATGTGGAAGGGCTGACAAAAATACTGTGGGGGCGAGGATTTATCAAAACTGCAAAACTGGAGCAGACAGAATCTGGAGCATTTGCCCATACTGCAGTAACCAAAAAGCTTCTCTCTTCAGTTTGTTCAGTTAAGATTTGAAAATGAAAGAGAGAAGTTAGAAGATAAGTGATTGGTTGCAATGCACAAGATTGAAGAAAATAGGTCACCAGCACTCCATAAGTTAAAATGAATGAGTCCTTTTAATGGACAATGATGTCACAGAAATCCAACATGAGCCGACGTTTCGGGGCCACACAGGGTCCCTTCTTCAAGGCAAGAGATGTGACACATCTCTTGCCTTCAAGAAGGGACCCTGTGTGGCCCCGAAACGTCGGCTCATGTTGGATTTCATTGTCCATTAAAAGGACTCATTCATTTTAACTTATGGAGTGCTGGTGACCTATTTTCTTCAATCTTGTGTTTTGCACGGTGCCATCCGTGAAGTTACTTCGAGCACCATTTATTTGATTGTTGGCCGGGACTGCTGAAAGGTGTGCGGAGGGCACCTCCATCAATTGCATCTGGTTGCAATGCACAACTGCTCCAGACTTTGTTTGCTCCACTTTTGATAAATTCCCCTCTGTGTGTTGTCAGCCCACAACAGAACTTAGGAGCTGAGTGCATTTCTGGTAGATCAACAGGTATTTTTCTGTACTTACAGAATCGTTAACCCTTTCCCTGCCACAGATGCATGTAATATGTTGGCAGCTGCAGGCCCCTCTAAGCAGTCTTTTTACCTGTTGGCTTTACACTGGAAGTGTTTCAGGTGGCTGTAAAGCCGCCTAATCAATTCCAGGGGCCAGTAAATGTGTGCACCCCCACCTTGCTTCCTGGGCTCAGGTGCCCCTCCTGCAGACCCTGGGTGTCAGCAGGTAGAGGGGAGAGAGACCAGTTGCCACCCATTCATTGACATCCCCCACGTAAAATGATGCTGGAAGCAATTATGATTTAATCACTTTTGGTTTCTGAGTTGTCGTTCCCTAGCTAGAGAGGCCACAGAACAAGCTGATCAAGTACAATCAACTTCAATGAGCTGCAGAGGTGACATTGGGGTCTATTATTTCACTAATGTCTCCTTAAAGAGCACCTGTCATCACTAACAAATAAACAAAATTAAAAAGTTTAATAAATAAGAAAAAGTAAAAAAAAAGTTTTAAAAGTACCTTGCCCATAGATACACACATACTAATTCATACACATGCCGGGTGCACCTTCGTATTAAAATGATGATTGCACCACACAGGTATCACTGTGTACACCAGAGTGAGAGCAATAATTCTAGAGCCATTATTCATGGTTAACTCTAAACGGATGACCTGTGCAGGCTTTTAAAGGGTCACCTATGAACAATTTGAGGTACCATAGCTTTTTGCCGCTTCACAAGTGTACACAATTTTTAAGTTTGGCATATTTGGTATTTTCTTACCGTTATACCGTTGATGTATATTGTGACATTTCTGGAGTTTATTTATACAGGCTTGTAAATTTACTAAAACTATCTATTTTCCAACAGGCATTTCCCGGGAATGGAAACTCAGACACTGTTGTCCGACATGACCTGCAACACCCAGTGGTAGCTCGTTATGTACGCATTGTTCCCCTCGACTGGAATGAAGAGGGACAGATAGGATTAAGAGCTGAACTCTATGGCTGTCCATACTGTAAGTTCATGTGCTTCAAATGCTGACTAATATAATATATACCTAACATTAAACTGATTTAAAATGATTATGATTTGGAAGAACTATTAATATCCACATTCACCTTCACAAATTTACTGTTATAGCAACCATATCATCTTTAATAAGACTGTTGAATTTTGGGATGAGACCTCCATGCCATTTTTAGATGTGAGAGTTTATAAAAATGGCGATCTTTGGGATACAGACCTTTATGTAAAACCCACAGACAGAAATTAATTATTATTACACTCCAGCTTCCATCTGACTATGGTATTTAAATGGGTACCCCAAAGCCAGATGGTGAGAGTAGAATGGATAGTAAGTGACCCTAATGCAAAAGAGGAGGCAATTAATATAATAAATATAGAGACATGGAAATGAAAGACAAGTTAAAAGATAGCTAAGTCAAAGGGATCGATGTAAAAAAAAATAAAAAATAAGGATTGAATATATCTAGAAACACTGCCAGTTTTCATATAAGATATTATTTAAAAAAAGCATTGGGGTATTGTGAGACGAAGTTACGCCACTTTGGATTAGCTATGGTGACCATCCTTTAGGAGAGGTATAACAATCCGAGATAAGGTGGTTTAGGACTTTGTAGGTATTTACCATCGACACTTTTTTTATAGATCCAAAGCAAAGTGGTTTAATTCCATGTTTATCAACACCAGAGGGTATTTTACCTGTCAATGTGAACTTGTATAAATGTAAAGCAAATATGTTGCGCTCGGTCTATGTGAACCAACTGCACACTAAAGTGTTAATAAACAAATCTGTGTAAAAATTGATTCAAGTGGATTATTTACATATGACTAGAAGGTTCAACACACAAACATAATAAGAATAATAAAAATCAACACTGGAACCTTCAGAATTAGTGCCAGTGATCAACCTCATTGGTTCAGCATGTATATTTTAAACACGTGAACCTCTGGCCAGCGGTGTAGTAAAACAACACAGAAAACTAAAATTTAAATCGTGATATTAATTCAAGCTGTGAACAAACTTTGAAAAGGAAGGAGGGGCTCTGTGGTGGCCCTCCAATACTCAAAAAAAACAAAAAAACAAAAAAAAAACGTGCAAATAAATCAAAACTCTAAAATAATAAACCATGAGTGGTGCTATGTGGGTGGAAATACACAAAAAACATCTTATAAGGTATGATTATTGATCAGATTACTTGATTACATAAAGGGGTGACAGGGAATTACAATGGAAATGTAGGGTGGTACAGTGAATCGCAGACCTTGATACGGTTCAGATTTGGTTGACTACAGCGCTTTTTAGAACTGGCACTGCTACTAAGAGCCTCACCTGCCTTCCTAGACTGCATGTCCCTGATATAATAAAACAGACTGCATTCTTAGCAAATACAAATATAGTACCAGATATGTACATTTTTTGTACTTACAGGGGCACTTTAACACACAGTAAATGTTTATAAAATGTGTTTACAGCTGGTTTTATAATGTTCATTTGAATTTTAGGTTTACTGGTACTTGAAGGGACAGACTAGTAAAAGAAAGAGTTTTCCATACTAAAATTACTTTGGTATTCATTTATGTACTTGAATTTCCTAAAACGAGATTAAAATAGGAAAAAACATTAATTTATAGAGAAACCTGAATCTCCTTGGAATTGGAATTGAGGGACTTTGGCAATCGTAATGAAATCCGATCTCTGAAGGCACAGTAGAAATAAAAAATACTGTATTATTGAACAGAGTTTCCTTATTCTTTCATAATGTTCAGAGGATGAGTGATAAGCCAATCTGAATTGTGTCATAATGCTACATGCAGCATTTATTTTTCGACTCCTATATAGCTCAGTGGAAGACAAACTTACACTCTAAATATATTTTTCTTATTTTGCATTACACAATATTTATAAAATCATACAAATATTATCTGTACAACCTTGGTTTATACTGTTATTTATCACATTAATAGTAAGCAAAAATATATAACAATATTTCATTTCCTCTAGTGTAGTTCTAAAATAAGGATGTGCGCTATTTAGTACATTCTTGATTATTTGAATTGTGGAAAAGAGACTGCTATACGTATTATTTGCATTATGATTGTGCTATTACTGCTTCATTAGATAGATAGATAGATAGATAGATAGATAGATAGATAGATAGATAGATAGATAGATAGATAGATAGATAGATAGATAGTTTAGTGGCTTGGAGGTTAGCCATTCTGCTTTGCTACTGGTTTCCTCAGTTCAAATCCCAAACCAGGACAGTATGTGTATTGACTTCTTTCTGTGCTTGTGTGGGTTTCCTCCGGGGTACTCTGGTTTCCTTCCACATTCCAAAGACATGCTTGTAGGGCAATTGGCTCCTGTCTAAATTGGCCCTAGTGTGTGTGCATGTAATATAGGGATCTTAGTTTGAAAGTTCCTTGAGGGCAGGGATTGATGTTAATGAATAGTATGTAAAAGCATTGTGTAAATTGATGGCTCCATATAAATATCTGTAATAGATGAACATAATAGATAGATGTATCGGTGGGCGGAAGGATACACTGAAAACCATTGTCCACTGTTGTCAGATTTACACAAGATCAAATGCAAACACAACAAAAACTCTAATGTTCACGTAAACTTAAGGATCAGATTTATCAATCTTTGTAATAGCTCAGTATAATGATGTAATGTTTTTGGCATTCTGCTGTATGTAGACATACAAAGTATGGCAAAGGCAAGGCAAAGTATCAAAACTGTTACATTTATAAAAATCATTATTGTAGTGAAACGCCAAATCAATCAATGTTGTTGTTCGGTTAGTTTTAGGTTTGAGATAACGGTCAAGAAAAAAAATGTGGCAAATGAACATGAAACAATGCAACCATACCAGTGAGCTTAAACACAGATCAAGGGTACTCACTGACTTTACGAAAACAAATCCTCTTTTCATGCATTCTTGCAAATAATTTTTTTTTTTAAATGCTTGCCTAAATACCCTAAAATGGAAGGGTGATGGCTGTATAAAGAATGTTGAACCTTCCCTATTATTTATCCCAATTTTACTCAGCCCTGATTCCATTGCTAAACAAAATGGTGCCAAGAGTAATTACGATATCCAAAGCACAGTAACACAAATTCACCTTGCATCTTGATGTGGCATACTATACTATTACATGATGGCTCATTGTATCATTGCTCTATGCACTGGCTTATTGAATATCCCTATCATTTTTCAGATAAACCCTGCATAGATTATTCTTTTTTTGTGCTAAGGAACCCTAATTTATTAAGGTTTTCTATATGCAGAAAGAAAAGACAAAACCCTCCTTAAATGTCACCTGCATTAACACATTCACTGCCACCAATAGGGGATTGGGATGGAAAAGTGCTGCTTGCAACAGGCTGGCTCCATAACCCTCATGTGCTCATTTGCTCAGGCTGTGAACTTGTGGTCTCTGAAGTGACCATGAGCCTACAGTCCAATTGCATCTGGAATTATCTTTTTCATAGAAGTATGTGATCAATGGATGATTGGTTGCCAATTACTAACATTACAACATTCTTCCATGGTCCTCCTTGCTGTCTCTCTGTTGCTGCCTGCTCCTCACTTTTTCCAGGTTTGTTAACATTAGCTGCAATAAAACTGGCACCCTTCTTGCTGGTCTCATCACCTGCTGTCTCCATAAAAAGATCCTGTCATCCATGGGGAATGTCATTCCCTGGTAAAATGTAGTAAACAAAAATGTAAAACAAGAAAAAAATATTAAAAAAAGGTCAAGTGACCATGCCCCACAGGGTCATTTGTAAATGCAGGTCATGTATACTTACCTTTAGAGTGGCCCATATCTTTAAATGCTACTGCTTTGCTGCTCCTTGGCTGCTTTAAGTATTCCACACTTCTGGATGAGTTTAACACCTGATTCTCCAACCACATGCCATGGTTCCTTTCATCAGCTTGTATAAGGGTTCAGTGGAAAAAGCAGATATCCAGAAGTGTTGAATGCTTACAGCAATTAAAGGAATGTACAGTGGATTCACAAATATTCTCTAGCTGTGTTTGTTATGGCCATGTCTAAAAAAAATACACTTAACAAAGTATATTTGTTATGTAAATATACTTTATAATATTGCATAAAAATATGTCATATTTTTATTTCAAGGCAGCAGATGCAGTTCTAAGCACCTTTTCACGTGTTTCCAGTCTTTCCTTACCTAATTTGACAAAAAAAGTGCCTGTCGTTTACAGAGCTCAATAGCTCAAGCTCCATATTACACTCTAAATTACACCTACAACTCAAAGAGTCAGATGATTAATTATTCATCCTTCCTTCCCCCTCTGTGCTATGGGAACATACTTTATTAATGTATAAAGCATATATAAGACAAAAAACTAAAATGTAATATAGTGCAGTTTACCAGTCTTTAGATGTGCTGGCTGCATTAGTTCTTTTTCAGGATTTAGTTCCTTTATTTTCATTTGGCAATCCTTCTGTTTAGGGTTTTGCAGTAAACAAATATTGGCCTGATAGGAGAGATCAGAGTTGAACACCCACTATTCATTGCAGGTCAACCGATGTATTCTTTACTACCTAAAAAACAGAAATCATATGTGCCAAGTTGGTTTTTTTCATCCTTGCCTTATCACACCATTTAAACAGAATTACAACTGGCCTGATCACTTGCCTCACTGATATTGCTTTTGCATGGACCACTATTGCAAGCATTTATGTTTTACGTAGAAAGCTTATTACATTATGAGGCTAGAATTTCCATTATTCTGTACTTAACCCTGACCATGTAAGGGAGCTTAAGAGCGATTGTAGATTGTTTTAATTCCTTAAAACTTACATAACAAACTTTTATGTTACATCATACACATCATAGTCGGTTAGCTGTAATCAGTTTTTTTTAGTTTCAAAAGATTTTTATTGTTTTTTTCCACACATGTAAATTAAGTTACAAACTGCATGAACACTCCAACATAGAGTGTCCGCACATAAAAG